ATGACGCAGAGAAATCTAGTTGTGGTCGCTGATACTTTAGTATCCGACTAACGGTCGTCCGGCATCAACTGACTGACCGACCCACTGAGCGATATTCAGTCACCGAACCCACGAGGCATCATGTGGCACAAGGCCGGTTTAACGTGGGATCTCCGTGCCCGTGGGCTCGGCCAAAAATATGCCCTTTTAAAACCCGTATAAACGGGTTCAGGGCCGGTTTACCTCCAGAAAGAGACTCCGCCCTTCGGCGTAGCCTCGTTGAGGTTCCTCCCCGCCCGGAGGCAGAGAGTTCAACCGGTCAGCCGACTTCAGACTGAACTCAGACCGACCCACTGAGCCACACCACGTTACTCTTACTACTCCTACTTATTATAGGTAGGAGAGTCTATTAACTATAGAATAGGTGTGTTCCACTATAACAAAAACTGAAGCTAAAAACTTCAAATTTAATTATATAATTAAATTAAAAGCATTAGTTCTGTTTCATCTTCAAGCGATTTTAAGTTTTTAGCTTCATTTTTTGAAACATTTTAAATCAGTCAATTTATAATTTATATATATTATATATATATATATATATATATATATATATATATATATATATATATATAGAGAGAGAGAGAGAGAGAGAGAGAGAGAGGAACATTTATAAGTAGGGTTTCTTTTTGATTTGATGGCGAAGAACTATTTTCAAACGATATATACTGGCCACCGAAAAAGACTGATGATCGATTATTATTAGAAAAAATTCTTCACTTACTTTCCTTCGTTTAGTAGAGGAGCCTCGAAGCCAATTTTAACTGTGTGATGTCATAATCTGGTTGAACCATCAGCCAGTGCCCTCCAAAATGACGTCACAATGTCATAGATTCTTTGCGAGGAGAAAAAGGGAAATCAATTTAGAACGCCTAAGAATGGTTCCTTGTTTTGGCATAGAAGACGTTCAATTTGGCGTATTCAGTAAATTCTTTAACAAACGCATGTATGCAAGCATTCCCACATAATCATGTGTATTTGACTATATATGTATATATATATATATATATATATATATATATATATATAAGACTGTGTGTGTGTATGACTGTTTATGTTTGTTTGTGAGAGAGTGTGTATTTGAATTAGTATATTTGTGCAGGTGTGTTGTATGCCTAGATATAAATGTTCTTTGCGTAGATGTAAATATAACAAAAGACATAAAAATATATATATATATATATATATATATATATATATATATATATATATATATATATATTACATAAAAGGTTAGGGGTCAGAGTTGAATCAGGCCAAGAAACACCAGTATGAAAACGTGCTCAATACGCGTGTGAAAAAAATAAAATAAAATAAAAGTAAAAATAACATGTAGAGCTTTTAACTTTAAAAATCAGTTTGATATGCTACCTTGGTTTCAACTTTACGATATCCTCAGGCGATGTTTATCACGTGATCACATAACGCTTTATTTTGTTTAAAATCTCATGAAGTTTACATTAATATTTTCAAAAATAGGTAAAAAAACGCCCGAACTTGGGTGCAATAGGAGGAGGATGTGTAGAAGAAGAAGAAGAAGAAGAAGAAAGTCTATTGTCTTTTATCCAGCCTCATATGTGCTTAAGAGAAATTTTCTGATATATATGCAAGGATTTACGAACTGGAATTTAAAAAATAATAATGTAGCGCTCATTAGTCTTATATATATATATATATATATATATATATATATATAAGCGTAAACAGGTCACTTGATAAAAATCGCAAGGGATACCGTAAGGGTGAAACCAAAGTAGCGGATTTAACTGACCTGATTTTTAAAGTTATATATATATATATATATACATATATATATATATTGTATGCACAGTACTTAGTTAAAAGTGCCCAATATCAGTGATAGTGCTAACATATTCACTTTTATCGATATTATTTGGCAATGAAGAAATATAGTTTTAAGGTGTGCTATATTTATGGGATAAAGTGCTCAATATCAGAGATAGAGCGTCTGTAAATATAAAAGTGAACATTTTGTGTGTGCGTGTGTGTATGTCATTCGCAAACAGTAGTGTTCGCTGTATCACTGCTCCTTAGTGCGACTAGACGTCCGAAAGTCTCAAGCCAGGATCGAAACCCGACAGATTTAGTGTCAGTCGGAGTTTCTACCCCTAAGACATCAGCAATCGGCAGAGGGAAACTGCTAATTTTAGCCTATTGTTTTTACCGATGTAAACAAACGCCGGTCACCCAGAGTGCTTGTATTCATCTTACCAAAAATATATATATATATATATATATATATATATATATATATATATATATATATATATATATATATATATATATATATATATATATAGCAGTAGAGCCTGGCGTTGCCCGGAGATATAAGAGTAAGTGATAGATCAAGTATCCACCATGATAAAGACTGAAAAATAAAATTGACAAAGATTATTGTTTAAGATTGACGGACACGCATGTCTTAATTAGTTTTTTTTTTTTTTTTTTTTGTTTTTTACGAATTGGTCAAACCCATACTCAAACAAAAACATTGTTTTCAATCGTTACCGATTGAATAGAATTTTATTAAACAATTGTCTTTTAAATGGAATTTTTAAAGCATTCTGAATGTAAAAATAAAGAAAAAAGTGTGCAAGACAATAAGAAACACTACATGCCAAAAAAGTTTTGTTGAAATCGGTTGAAAAATGTAGGTAGCCTTTCTGTAATCGTTTAGTTTTACAATTTATGATTTTTACTTATTGAATACAGTAATAAAAATCGCATATTTTGCTTGTGGTGATTCATAATTAGAATTCTGATTTGAATATATTTTCCACTCGTTGTTTCTAATACAAAAAATATTAACTTTATTTGGGTTTATTAGTTATGATCTAACAAATCTTATTCATTTAGTAGCGTTTCTGTAATAATAATCTTTTACAATTTATGATTTTTTACTTATTGAATACAGTAAAAAATTGGACACCATGTGTATTTAAAGTAGTTTCGCGTTCCGGTTATTATTTTTAGTTAGGACTTGTGTATGTTTAGATTTCATTATCTTTCCCTAAAGATAAAGAATTTATCCGATGTTTGTATTCGTACAATCAGTAGAGATCGTTAGATTATTGTTTAAGGTTGACGGACACGCATGTCTTAATTAGTTTTTTTTTATTTTATTTTTTACGAATTGGTCAAACTCAAACAAAAACATTGTTTTCAATCGTTATGAGTCTCCCGATTGAATTTTATTATAAATAATTGTCTTGTAAATGGAATTTTTAAAGCATTCTGAAAAATAAAGAAAAAATGTGCAAGAGAATAAGAAACACTACCTGCCAAAAAAAAAAAGTCAAGTTTTGTTTTATCGGCTGAAAAATATAGGAAATCCGCTCCCATATTTAAAGGAACCCACACACACACAAACAACCCGATTTGAGTTGTCCCCCTTCCATTTTCACGATGTCTCTTAATGGTGTTTTCAAATTGATTTTGTGCAAAAACAATTATATTTTTCCCATTTTTAGCGCTGTTAGAACCACCACAAGGTAATTTTATGTAGTCCTGTGAAGTTTTGTTGAAATCGGTTGAAAAATGTAGGAAATCCGATCCAATATATAAACGTTACAGACACACACACACACACACACACACAATCTGCGTTTTATGATAAGTAAGATATATACATATATATATATATATATATATTATGGGAGATAAATAAATATGTTATACATGAGAAGATTAAGATAGTTATGAACAGAATAAATAAATAGCATGATAGATATGAGTAGACTAAGATAGATAGATAGATAGATAGTACTAATGTCCCGGTGCTTCCTGCATTCCAGATTGTTGGAAGTCCTCCTATGTAGTCCCTGTTTTTAAGACCCTCGTAACTATCACCCTATCAGTCTTCTGCCGATTTTCCGCAACGTATTCGAGGCTTTAATCAATGATGAAGTTGTTAAGCAGCTTATATCTCATGACCTACACTCTGACAGACAAAATAGATTCCGTTTTGTCCGGCCTACCGCTGATCTGCTTACATTCATCACTGAAGATATTATATATATATCAACCTTTTGGTAATAATGCCGAAGCTTGAGCTGTGGCTCTAGATATCTCAAAGGTGTTTGACAGGGTTTGACATCCTGGTCTTATACGTAATGGCAACGGTATTACAGGACGATTGTTTGATTTAATTCAGTCATTCCTATCAAATCGTTAAATGAAGTTCGTTTTGAACAGGCTCACTTCCCAGATGAACGACGGTGTCCCCCCAGGGCTCTATCCTTGGCTGTACGCTGTTTCTGATCTTTATCAATGATCATCCGGTGTCATCAGTTCCCAAGTAGGCATTTATAGATAGATAGATAGATAGATAGATAGATAGATAGATAGATAGATAGATAGATAGATAGATACACTTGTAAAGTAATCGTTCAAGATTCAAGTAATTCAAGATTCAAGTAATCGTTCAAATGTTGAAGATTTCAGTAATCAATGATCCATAAATTATCCATCTTAATTTCTAAATGTTAATTCATCTTCCAGCCGTCACCGGATAAAGATTGAGAAAATATTTGCATTTTACAGATTGGAAACAGCTATTTGCAACTATGAACTTACAAATTGATTTATGATGAATACAATCTAAGGCTGGATTGATCCAAATCAGACGAAAAGAAAATCTGTAACCAAAAGAACTACGTTCATTTGCTTTCACTCGTTCATTAACTGAATGCAAAATTTCCTGCAAATTCATCATTATTGTTTATGTCGTCGGTGGTCATGGCTCTCTACAACTTCCTGCCCTTTGTATTTCTAAGCAATATTTATTTCCTTCTTATCCATCCCAATCCATGTTTTGCTATACATTTGTTACAAGCTCCTCAGCTCGGTTAGTCAGTATTTCCCTCTGGAGAAATCAACTCCCTGTTGTTTCAAGTCTCCTCAGCATTCCTGAATAAATTGAACAAAAAAACCGCTGTCAACTTATGCACATCCAAGTTCCATTTCCACTTTTTTTTTGCACCCTCTCTTCCTCCTACCCTTCCTTCCTTCCTTCCTTCCTTCCTTCCTTCCTTCCTTCCTTCCTTTCATTTCTTTCTTTATCTCTTTTTTCCTTCCTTTCTTTCTTAATTTCTTCCTTCCTTCCATTATTCATTCATTTCTTTATACATCCATTTTATTTCCTTCATTGCTTTCTTTATCTCTTTTTCCTTCATGTCTTTCTTCATCCCTCCCTTTCATTATTCATTCATTTCTTTATATATCCATTTTATTTCCTTCATTGCTTTCTTTATCTCTTTTTCCTTCATTTCTTTCTTCATCCCTTCCTTTCATTATTCATTCATTTCTTTATACATCCATTTTATTTCCTTCATTTTTTTTATCTTTTTTTTCCTTCATTTCTTTCTTCATCCCTTCCTTTCATTATTCATTCATTTCTTTATACATCCATTTTATTTCCTTCATTGCTTTCTTTATCTCTTTTCCTTCCTTCCTTTCTTCATCCCTTCCTTTCATTATTCATTCATTTCTTTATACATCCATTTTATTTCCTTCATTGCTTTTTTTTCTCTTTTTTCATTTCATTTCTTCATTCCTTCCTTCCTTCCATTATTCATTCCTTTCTTTATACATCCATTTTATTTCCTTCATTGCTTTCTTTATCTCTTTTTCCTTCATTTCTTTCTTCATTCCTTCCTTCCTTCCATTATTCATTCATTTCTTTATACATCCATTTTATTTCCTTCATTGCTTTCTTTATCTCTTTTTCCTTCATTTCTTTCTTCATCCCTTCCTTTCATTATTCATTCATTTCTTTATACATCCATTTTATTTCCTTCATTGCTTTCTTTATCTCTTTTCCTTCATCTTTTTCTTCATCCCTTCCTTTCATTATTCATTCATTTCTTTATACATCCATTTTATTTCCTTCATTGCTTTCTTTATCTCTTTTTCCTTCATTTCTTTCTTCATTCCTTCCTTCCTTCCATTATTCATTCCTTTCTTTATACATCCATTTTATTTCCTTCATTGCTTTCTTTATCTCTTTTTCCTTCTTTTCTTTCATTTCTTCCTTCCTTCCATTATTCATTCATTTCTTTATTCATTCATTTTATTTCCTTCATTGCATACTTTATCTCTTTTTCCGTCCTTTTTTTCTTTATTCCTTCCTTCTTTCCATTATTCATTCATTTCTTTATACATCCATTTTATTTTCTTCATTTCTTTTTTTTATCTTTTTGTTCTTTCCCTTCTAAATTCCTCCCTTTCTTTATCTCTTTTTTCCTTCCTTCAATCATTCCTCTCTTCCTTCAACCAGTTTCTTTCTTTCATTGTTTATCTCTTTTTCCTGGCTTCCTTCATCTGTTTTCCTTCCTTCATTGTTTTCTCTATCTCTTTTTCCTTTCCTCCATTATTCCTTCCTTCACCTTTTTTCCTTTTCTTCACTGCTTTCTTTGTTTCTTTTCTACCCTTCCTTTATTACTTTCTTCCTTCATCTATTTTCCTTCTTTCATTTCTTACTTTATCTTTTTCCTTCCTTCCTTTGTTCCTCTTTTCCTTCATCAATTTTCATTGCTTTATTTATTTTTCAATTTCTTTCTTCACTTTTTCTTCTTTCCTTCTTTTTTCTTCCACACAAACAACGTTCTCACCTTCCTTCTTTCATCTTTCCTTCCTTCTTTACTTCATTATTTCATTCATTAATACATCCCGTATTTCTTTTATTCATCCATTCATTCATTCTTTCTTTCCTCGTTTCATTCCTTCATTCATTTATACTTTCCTTATTTCATTCATTGATTCCCACTTTCTTTCCTTTATCCCTCACTTTTCCTTCCTTCCCCCTTTCATTCATTCATTCATATCTTTATTTCTTTTTCTTCTTTCCTTATTTTATACTTTCTGTTTTTTTCTTCCACTCTAACAACGTTAACTTCTTCTTTTCTTTCATCCTTTCTATTCTTTCCTTCCTTTTAAATTTCATTCATTTGGCCTTTCCTTCTTTTACTTATTCCTTTATTCGTTCCTTCCTTGTTTCATTCATTGATTTCGTCCTTATTTCCTTCATACATTCTCTTTCCTTCCTTCATTTCTCTCATCATTTCTTCATCCATTCCTTCCTTCATTCCTTCCTCTTTTTAGTTTTCATTCTGTGTTCAATTGTTTCTTATAAATTGCTAAACGTAATATTTCTGAACTATAATAATCTGCTGTTCAATTTCTAAATACAAAGAGGAGCTGAAAATTTGTATCTTCGACAAAGAACTAATCCTAAAAGAATACGGATGTCTTCTTAGATTTCCATGAGTAGATCAAACCGAAAACATCTCAGCACCACTTCATATGTGCCTGTGTTTGCGCTTCTGACACAGAGAAAGAAAGAGAGAAAGCGACAGAGAGAGGGAAAGAGAGAACGAGAAAGATAGAGAGAGATAGAGACAAAAGATAGAGAGGAAGCGACACAGACAGAAAGAGAGCGAGAAAGCGACAGAGGGAGAGAGAAAGAGAACGAGAAAGATAGAGAGAAAAAGAGAGAGAAATAGATATAGGGAGAAAGATAGAGAGAAAGCGACACAGACAGAAAGAGAGAGAGATAGAGACAGTGAGAGAGAGAAAACGACACAGAGAGGGAGAAAAAGAGAAAGAGAAAGAGAGAAAGCGACAAAGAGAAAGAGAGAAAATCAGAGAGAAAGTGACACAGAGAGAAAGAAAGAGGAAGAGAAAATGAGAGAAAAATCCACATAGATAGAGAGAGAGAGAGAGAGAGCAAGAGAGAGAAAGCAAATCAGAGTGAGAGAATGGGAGACAGAAAGAGAGAGAAAGCGACACAAAGAAAGAAAGAAAGAAAGAAAGAGAGAGAGAGAAAGTGCAAGCGAAAGAAAGAGAGAAAGAAAGCAACAGAAAGAGAGAGAGAGACTAAAAGTGAGTAATAGTGCCCATATGTCTGAATGGTAAGCGTGTGTGTAGAAGGGTGTGGCTTGATATGAGCATCATTATTTTTTTTGTTATATCATTTGGCCACATTTTTCATACGGTTCGGGGTTTGACAGCCTTATCGGTGAATATCATGCACAGCCGTTGCGGCACCAATCGCCTCCGCTGCTCTCGGCTCTGACGGCTATAACCTCAATAAAACAACATTCACATTACAAAGAATAAAGACAGTGCGTGTGTGTGTGTGTGTGTGTGTGTGTGTGTGTGTGTGTGTGTGTGTGTGTGTGTGTGTGAAAGTGGGGACGCTTTCCAGAGGACATCTCTGAAGAAAGCTTTATCGGACCCAGTTCGAAACATGGTAAATATAAGGGTCAGACTCCGAGGAAAGTCATCTAATCTAGGAAATCGCTGCTTACAAACATTTTTTCTACAGTTTTACAGTTTTGCTTTTGTAAAATCGGCAAAAATTTCAAGAATATTCAAATTCATGCATACCAGCGAGAGAAAGGCCGACATAGATAAATAGATGTGAACATATATATATATATATATATATATATATATATATATATAGAGAGAGAGAGAGAGAGAGATAGATAGAGAGATAGATAGATAGATTTAGGTAGGTAGGTAGGTAGGTAGAAAAGTTCAGCCTTAGATAGATAGATAGATAGATAGATAGATAGATAGATAGATAGATAGATAGATAGATAGATAGATAGATATTAAATGAAAGGACTAAGGTAGATTTGCTTAGACTTATTAACAGATTAATACAGGTTCTTCTCATCGCTGGTAAAACTATATGGAGTGACAGAGTTACTGGCACAGTCTTCTTGATAAACATGTAGTGTTATGTCGAAAATAAATATTCATGAATTTGCTTTCTTCTGGAACACATTTCCTGAAGGAACACGTAAATTCATAAATAATTCGGTTCCTCTTTTACATCCCTCTGACCATAGCTCAATAAGGACCCATTTGACTACACACGCATTTGTATCAAAAACCGTACGCAAAAAAAAAAATCGTAGAAAAATGTTCTATAATAGCATCATCTACTTGTAAAAAGGGAATAAAATAAAAGAAACATAAACATCAGCAAGAGGCAGCTTAAGTTCTTGAGAAAGGAAGGCCTGGAGAATCTGATACTCACGGGTCGAATAGAGGGAAAGAGAGACAAGGGAAAGCAATGCATGACATGCCTGGTAGACTTAAGCAAGTGGATGACAGAACGTGGTCTGGGGAGGTGGCAGAGGGAAAGAACTTGTTGAGAGCTGCATGGGATAGGAGGAGGTGGAGAGCCAGGATCGCCTACGTCCTGAAAGGACACGGCACATAGAAAGAAAGAATAATGAAAAAGAAAATGTTTTTGGAGAGTTAAAAACAAACATCCCTTTCACTGTAAATACACACATCAAAATATACATATTCAGACAAAAAAATCAAAAAACATCCTTGATATTATTGGCTAACAGAATAGCCGAAATGTTATATAAAAAATAGTTTTAATATATGCTTTATTTATTGGCTGAAGTGCTCAATATCAGGGATAGAGCGTATGTAAATATAAAAGCAAACACTGAAGCATGGAATGTATGTAAATATCGAAGTGAAGCATGGAGCGTATGTTGATATTGAAACAAAAACGTGGAGGATATGTAAATATAAAAGTAAACATTGAAATATGGAACAGATTGTCATTTAGGAGCGACAGTCTGTTTTATGCTTGAACGATATCCTGACGACTGCCTTTAAGCATGAAATAGACTGCCACTGCTTGGTGTTGATTTCAGTGTCCACTTTCATAGATATCTATATCTATAAAAAAGAATCTCTGTCTGTGTGTGTCTTTGTGTGTATGCTATTAATGCACGTCCGCATTTCTCGACCGATTTCAATGAAATTCTCCACGAAGGTTGAAAAGTTACGAAGTAAAAACAAGACCAACTTTTCAATCTCCAGCATCCCCTGATTTGGCAGTAAAATCGATAAAACTGAAGATGGGTACGACTTTTTGTAAAAATCAAGTCAAAATTACACGCGAACAAAATTGATTCTGGATAAGCTAATGTTCTTTGCACTTAATGCAAAACGTAGTTCATGTCACGAGGTTTATGTATAGTTCTTGATAATTTTCTTTCGACAAAACTATGAATAAATCGGGTTTTTCGTACTACATAAAATAAAAACTTTTTATCCGATCTTCTTCAAACATGTAAGTATTATTAAGTTGACAATAGCAAAAACATTAGATTAATTATTCATTACGAAAAATTTAAAACCTATAATCTTATAGTTAAAAATAATAATTCACCTCTTAGAACAAAATTAAATAGGACAAATATTATTTATGAATTTAAATGCGCAATAAGGAATTGTATTCCTGATCAATCAAAATTCGTAAATAAATATATAGGCCACACTACAACATGTTTGACATGAAGACTCACTCTACACCTTTCTGATCATAGTTCAATTAGATCTCATTTAAATATTCATGGAGACCTACCGGACACTATTCGGAACATACTTGTTGACAACACTAATATAATAGCATTAGCTACATGCCAAAAAAAAAGGCTAAAAATAAGGGAAGCCTTATTAATAAAAACAAAAAAAAATACAACGCTTATTATTATCAACTATGAACATGGACGCAATATCTTGACCGTGTTTTGAAAAATAATAACATTATATAAATACATACAATCAACAAACTATTTCTTGTTAACAGTTAATATATTTCAAGCTTGAAAATGGCTAAATATATAGCCGAAAGCGCTCGAAAGAAAAGAGCAATTGGGCAGTTTTTATATAACTTATCCGACGAAAAGAAAAAATTATAAGATCACATGAGAAGTTGTATAAAAAAATTATTCAAAGCATCTTGTCTGCCTTATTCAATGAAATGTGAATGAAAGAACGATTGCTGCCTAAATACACAAGTTTTTTTTTTCAAGCCTATCTGTTGATTGTCAGTCACACAACTTTATGCAACCATTCTTTCTAGAGGCTTGTTTAATGAAGACAAGATTTTAGCAAATGGCATATTCGCATTGTCGTGTTTGTAATTGTAATAGCTGTCATTAGTAAAAATTAATATTTCTCAGGAAATAGGTCAAATATATCACATTTAAATGGAAAATCATCACAAACAGTATTTGTTTGTTTTTCACGGAAATAAAACTCGAGAATGATATTCACATCTACAGAGCCAATTAAATCCGCTTTTATTTATATTTCCGCATGAAGAAGACCGAGTATTATTTAACGAGATGATGGATATGAAGCTTGTGAATTGATTATTCATTGAGGCGTAAAGCATGAGTCAGTCAGATGAAAAAGTTGTATACAAATTCCCACAATGCATCATATATATATATATATATATATATATATATATATATATATATATATATATATATATATATATATATATAAAGAACCAAATATGTTATATTATTTAAGGGCATAGAAACGATCTTTAATTTTTACAGAGTTGGACAAACACACACACATATATATATATATATATATATATATATATATATATATATATATATATATATATTATGCAGTGTTACATTAGAACATGCACATATCCACTACAAAATTATACATTTTGTTTCAACGTCAAAAAAGGAAAACCTTTTCTAACTGTCTCATCAGTTTCTTTTCATTCAATCGTCAAGAGAAACTCCTTTTTTTAAAGTTGAAACAAAATCTACAACTTTTGTAGTGGATATGCATGTTCTAATGTAATACTGCATAAGATAAATATTTACGATTCTATTTGTGCATTAATGTTCTGAACGCGGTAATCTTACTGTTCGTTCTTCTACACTTTGATATATATATATATATATATATGCACACATTTCTTTCTTTCGTTTTAGGATCTGATGAAGCCCAGAAAGGCGAAACATGTAATCAAATCTAGTTTCAATGAAACGTTTTCTATTTGTTTTATTTCTTAAAAACCTATCTATATCCTATTTCAAGAATATATATTGTCGATACGGAAACCACATGGTTAGCCAAAGAAACATGTAAATAGTTTACTATCAACCCATTCTGAAGGATCGGATGACATTTTGCCTTGCATTAATTTCAGAAAAATCTTTATGAGTCTCTTGGTTTCAATCCCTGCTGAAAAAGAAATGGGAATTTGCCATTAATTCGATAGAGAAAAGCTGGGAGAATATTCCCATAAATTTCGACATGAACTACGAATTATAAAGAAAAGATACGGAATAAATAGTAACGGTTTTTTTTTAAAGTCATTCATTTTCTTTCTTTTCATTCATTCGTCAAGAGTAACTCCTGCTTAGGGAAAAAAGTAATATGTATCATTATGTAAGTATACACACAAATACACACACATTTCTTTCTTTCGTTTTCGGATTTGAAATATCCTAAAAGTGAAATGCGTTATATATATATATATATATATATATATATATATATATATATATATATATATATAAGCAAGTGTAAATGGATATAAATCCGACAGAATGTAGAAATTTTGAAAAACAAACAAAATCCATAAATGTAGTTTAAAATGAAAGAATTGTCGACGTCAGACGTTTCGGTTTTAATAAATTTGTATTTTTAATGAATTTTGTCTTGAAAATGGTTTATTAAAACCGAAACGTCTGACGTCGACAATTCTTTTCATTTTAACTACATTTATGGATTTTGTTTGTTTTTCAAAATTTCTATATATATATATATATATATATATATATATATATAATATTTGGTTGGATTATAAATAATATATATATATATATATATATATATATATATATATATTTATATACACAAACTTTTCACACACACACACACACACATATATATATATATATATATATATATATATATATATATAATTCATCGAGTCTAGAAGAATCCTCAACAGAATGCAAGAAAGCACAAGACGGCCGTTTCGTTCTATTTTGAGACTCTTCCGCGGTGTGCACCTAGTACCGAGAATCGAACCAGGACCGTTACGATACGACGCAAGGATCACACCTAGTGCTCCAGCAGGTCTTGGTGTCCCCCCCCCACGAGTTACTAAGGGATAGAAGATACGTGACTCGTGGGGTTACAGACCGTTGGATGAGTTA